CTATTGGACTTTGGAACAATTTAGACCCCTTTTTAAAATCAAGCTGTTCAGTTCAAGTTTTTAAACGTATTTTAAAGAATAAGCTTTTAGACAATTTTGTAAATACTCCCTAAACTTCATTTATTTTTAGTATTTTTCGCGACTACAAAGTTTAGATAATGTTGTAAATGTTTTTGTTTTTTTTTAAATTTGATTAATTTTGATTGTGTAGTTATTAGTAACTTAGTAATTTAAGTAATTGTTCCTGAAAAGCCCCATTGGGGAGGTAACAATAAAGTATGTATGTATATGTATGTAATGCCACTATAACGAGTAAAGTAATTTAAATAAAATCTTGTTCTGAGCACTTGTTTAGCCTGTTCTTTTACTGGTACTGCGTCCACCACCTTGTAAACATGAAGCTTGGTTACCCCACATTCAAGGCATTGTGAAAAAATGGGGACAAAAATTTTGTTCCAGGCGTCTCATGACAAATGATGACTGGCTGAATGAAAATCTTAGTCGAAAGACTACAGTATTTGAAAAAGTCTTCAATTCTTAGACTATTTGCTATTTGCATAAATTGCGTCTTTCATCCACAACTAAGGCTGATTTTCCTTTGAGGTTAAAAGGTAGACGGAGGAAAAGGCGAGTCACCCACCTGCGACCAGTTCTTAATATCTGATCACCAACACTTGATTGTTGGTTGCATTGGTAACTAGTGAGCTCTACAGCCGTAGAGTTCATTATGTAGAAATGATTGTTAATGAAGGAATTCAGGTATTATTTTTAAGGGCTTAACAAGACTTTTCACAACGGACCAAACCCTGTTGGTAACCGTGGCAACATGTCACCGTTTTACTTGTACCCGCAATAGAAGAAGTACAAAGTGATTGGTGATTAAAGCGTAGAGGTGTAGCGCTCTACCAAAACTTCTACTGCAATATGAGGTTCGTAAAACAGGCACCAGTTGGGAAATGTGTCCAGATTCAAGATCACACAAACAAAAAAACAAGGCCATATCCAGCCATCTGGACTGAACAACCTTCTGAGTTATATTCTAGCAGGACAGAGTGAGCCATCATGAATGGACATGATGACTTGGGGGTAATTCTCCTTACCTTTAGTTATTACTTTACACTAAACTCCAGCTATAATTACTGTATAACAAAACACTTAATTACTGGTCCCATGGGAAATGCTGAGTTTTGTTTGCCCTTGCCTCTTGATGTTTCTTCCTGTTTCCATAGGACCAGTAATTTTAAAGGTGTATAACACTGTAGTTTACCTACATACATCTTATTGTGCTTGTTAAGCTATTTACCTCACCAACAAAGATGACTATGACACAGTCATCCTTATCATCTTGTGACATTCCATCTAGCAAAGAAGCTAGTGTATCCAGAAGGTATGCTGTTTTCTCACGTTTTATTGTGGGAATGCCAAAAACTAAAGACACTGAAAAACAGCATATAAAAGAATTAATGCAACAATCAATCATTTGGCCAGTTGGTTGATTGTTCAGTGGGTCTGTTGGTGAATGGATCAGTCTGTCCGTCAGTCACACAGTTAGTCAATCAGGCTGGGAAGCAAGCAGGTGGGCAGGCAGGTGAACAGGCTGGCGTATTGTGCAAGTGGAAGATATACATGTATTAAACACTTAATAATATTATATATCTTACATGTAACTCCATTATCATGATAACAACAAATGAGCAATATGAAGGTCACCTCCTTGACGATCCCTTGAAATATGCAGCGCAGGCTTTAAACTGCTTGGGGAATCCATTAGATGAGGCATAAGGTTGTATATACTTGGTAAACGTAGTACACTTTGACTGTCAAAAAATATACTAGAGGAATTTTGAAAGTTATTAGGAACTGATTTGTCCTTAGTTCTTTTATTGTTTGCAGCTTCCACTTCAGTCAGCTGTGCCTTCAGTGAAATAAGTTCTTGAGATCTGGCAGAATTTTGAAATTCTGCATCTCGTAATCTGTCCCGTAAAGATTGTATCTTCTTGATTAGTTCCACATCCACCTGGTTAGTTTCTATAGACTGCTGTACACCTAAAATGATAGACAATAATATACACACATCAAGCAAACAAAATTAATGTTTAATCAAAAGCACTTGCAATATCACTTTGTGTGGAACAAAAATTGCTAGACAGCTTTAAATCCAAGAAGTGAAAGCAGGCAAAGGAAGGGTTTCTAACTTACTGTAATATGTTGAGGGAAACTTAACATGTACATGTAGTAGAACTTAATGGAAATTAATAATTAATAGCAAACAACATTAAGAGTGCTGCCCTAAGTCTAAAAGGTAATACCTAAAAAGCCATCTGATCTGCGTCATAAACCACTAGAGCTAGTTTTAGACCTCATAACTAATAGAAAACTTGAGAAAATTATTACTTTGTTATTTACATATTTCTGACTATTCTTCTAAAAACCAGAAGTGTTGTTGCTAAATTCATGCAGAGGAAGTGCAAACTCATAAAAGTTACCATGAAACGTTCCA